CAACAAACAAAAAAATTAAAAAATTAATGCTATTTAGCCCTAAGTAGATACATACTGTCACAACCAGAAACCCCAGGCCTGCTCTACTGTGCTGCCTTCTTAGGGTTGCCATTCAATTTGGAGCTGTCGGGACTGGGGCTGATGGGCGAGAGTCTCGACGCAAAGAAACACTCTCATCACACCTTCTCCTGAATCTGCATGCAGACTAGAGCAGGACGAGCAGGACCCTCTGCTTGCTGATTGTACAGCTCAGGCCCGCTCGCAGGCTCGGGCTGCATCTGTGGCAGAGCGATTCTGGTTTCGGTGTCTGGCTTTCGGAATCAGATGATCTCGGGGAATCTAAGGAAGGCCTTTCTGGAGCTTGAGTCTCTCAAGTCAAAGTTGGCCGCGGCCAAAAACGCACGTTGCAAGTAGTAGGATGTCGCCCACTGTGCACCCGAGGATGCAAAGTCAATTCTCAAACCTGGCACCTCTGCAATGGATTGCTGCGACTACGACAGCCGCATTTGCATACCGAAGAAACCCACTCTCCGAACAAGGCAAGCCCACAGTGAGAAACGCTGCGTGAACCTATTCGTGTCGAATCCTTGGCTGGGCGATTTAGTGGTTGGACATCCTCAAAAGCCGGCTGATAAGGGAACAGGACCCATAGAATCCATGGAATGGTAGCAGGTAGCGGCTGGGAAACTGGAGGTGTCCGTCCGGCAGCTTAAGCAATGACTCTAGCCTAAAAGGCAGCATCGCACATTTCAAAGGGCTTGGAACGACCAACACTCAAACCCCGTCTGGTGATGTAGCAAACGCGGAGGCTTTTCCTCGAAAGTGAACAAACAGCCGTTGTGTTGCGAACACATGCTCAGAGTTTGGGCCTGCACGCCGGTGCCCACTTGCGCAGCCAGATCGGACAACCTTCCGCTGCCAACGGCACGTTGCTCGGTTCAAAGGCTATGTGGCTAGGCTCTAGGGCTTTGAGATTTGCTTGGATTTCTGGGACTAGAGTAAAACGGGTTCAGGCTTACTCAGTGTTTGAAGATGTCAGTGGACGCTGCCTGCTGGTACTAGCGCAGGGAACTTGGCGGGCTGAGGAAGATCATAAGAGCTCTGTTTGAGGGCGCCTGGGCAATCCAGGAAGAGGTAAGCCCTTTGGAACTTTGTCAGGATGTAAGCAATTCTCTATGATTGTATATCGTGCTTAAGCTGTTTCATGTGAGCTGAGGCACGGTACGGCAGGAGCCACGGGAATGTCTTCGAACTCCTCGTCATCGTCGTCGTCCCGCGACCGAGTAGGCCTGTTAGTAGATGTGTGACTGAACACATACAAGATTGAAACAACTGTCTTTTCCGCTGCAGACCTGTTCCTGGTTTACGCAACCGCAAAGTGCGACTTAGGCACGTCGGCTCTGTGTACGAAGGCTTTTAGGCATGCCTGGAAGCTCAACGCTCCGTCTTGTTGATGGAAGTTCTGTCAGAACTTGATAAGTCTGTCCTGACCTTAAGCAACGTCCTCAACACTGGTTATTGACACCTGGGCTGCATGGCTGATGCTTGTGCTCGTTACATTATGGTTAGTGCTGGCAGGTTGATTATTCGCGACTCCTTGAACCTATCTGCACCATCGCTTCACTGCATATTGCTTTGCAGCACTCGCGGGCAGGGCATGGTCCAGTGCTGATGGTAAAGCCCACAAAGCCTGGAAGCCTTGCAGCCTTCTCTCGTGAGTCCAGGGCTTCGGCGCCGGTCGCGGTGCAGGCGCCACAGGCGCTGCGGGTGCCGCCGGTGTGGGGGCTGGGGCGGCCTCGCTTCACTGCAAAAAGCGGGGTTCAGAGTTCCAGAATGAGGGGTTGCACAGCCTGTGCATCCTATGCATTCGAGGCGCCAAGGTCGAGGACACCAAAGCCGGGGATCTTCTGTGCTGTAGCTTGGTTGTGCCAGCCACTGTTGTCATTACGGAGGGTCTTCTCGTTTAAGTGCCCAAAGACGTCCTGTCCGGCTGTTGGTCTTGTGCGAGCGCGGAAGGTTCCCTATCCATGCAAAAGCAATGGGCTGTCAAACGTCCGAGTCAGAAGAGGCCTCTAAAGAACATGCGATGCTCTGCTAGCTGCTAAGTAGGTGACAGGTCAAGCAAGGGATTGCACAAGGAAGTTCACGCAGAAAGTTGACTCAGTCAAAATTAAATCAACCTGCGGGCCCTAGTCGAAAGCCCTGCATGGCCCCTGCAGCCCCGCAGCACCGGCACCTCCACGCCGGCGAGCTGCGCAGAGAGGTCAGCTAACCTCACACACTGCTGATTCTGCTTCTGCCACATGCTGCGTCTTCTACTAGCCAATGGCTCGTCCTTGCTGTGCTTCCTCTATTTTGCTTTCTGAGTATCGCTGTGCCCTGTCGTCCGAGCGACCAGAACCCCACCACTGCCCCCGCCTCTGACACGACTAACTAGCTGGTAGCCTGTGCCCGGAATGATCCACACTTCACAAAGGCCGACAACATCTTTCAACCGTTTACATGTGAAGTCTCCTGAAGGCTCCTAACTCACTCAGGAGTCCCGGCCCCATGGGCGGTGCGACGCAGAAGTCTTCCTCTTCCTCCTCGCTGTCATCCCTGAGAGGCCACGCATGGCTTTCCGCCGAACAGGATATGGGAGATTGAAGCTGTGTCTATGACCACGACGACGACGACGACGACGACGACGATAACGAGGACACACTGACGACCGACAATGATATATGATCCAAGAATAAAACCTCCGAAGTTTATGGCCTGCAGCCCTCGCAGTCACGGGAAAGCGCAAAGTAAGATTGTCATCGTGGGACGGAGCAGATGAAAGGCCCGGTTCAAGAAGCTCTCTGGTAACCTGCTGTTCTCATCGCCTTCTCCACAGAGACAGGAAACCATTCGCAGCGTCCTAAACCTAGGGGGGGCCCTTCAGAAAAACGGTACCTTGAACATGCTGCCACCCAAAGCGAGACTCAACGATCAACTGCGAACCCTCAAGGCCTAAAGCTGCCATCCTCTCAACCCTTGTGCCCGCAGAGCCTTTGCTTGTTCATCCGTCTTTCACGGGCTTTGGCCTGTCGTTGCCCGGCCGGGTTGGGCGTTTTCAGGGTCCCTGAGCACTTCGGGTTATGTTTCGGGTATTGCTGGGACTTGGGATAACGCTCGTTGGCTGTAAGCCATTGTAAGCCTTCACATTGCCACGGAGTGCTGGGGTCCACAAGAAGGCTTGTGCTTGGGTGCTCCCTTGCAAATACGAACACGATCAGTCGATGGTCCTTGTCCAACCAACTCCCGATTCAAAAGGATCCAAACAACAGAATTCGCATTCAATCCACACCAACATAGACATAAGCCTGTTCAGCGTAGCTTCCGTGGCTCAGCATGTTTATGCCTTGCGGCCGTCTTCCGCTCCCGGAGTTAAGCCTGCTCCTCCTCCATCTTCTGCTTCTTCCTTTCCAAGGCCTGCTGGCAGTACGGGATTCTCGGACGACCCTCTGAATTCGTCCTTGTGCACTTCCCTCATTCTTGTAGTAAACTTACTTTACTCGAAGTACTTCTGTTCCATTAACTTTTGGGACATGGGGGCCCGAGAGTCTTAAATTGATGGCGGCTTGACTGTACCGGCAGCGTCTCTGAACGCGGGAACCCAAGGCTTGGAGCCTCGGCTGTCTAATTCCGACCCCGGGGGGCACATCATCCTTGTCTATCTCGATCAACTAGACCTGAGCCTGAAGATCTCCTTAGTTCGGGCGTGGGAGGCCACCGGCTCGCCTGCTTCTCTGCAGTGGAGCGCTGCTCCTCCGCGAGGCGGGCCAGGCCCTGAGAAGCAAAGCGGAGAGAGCTGCTTTCTTTGGTACTGTAGCATGGTCTCCTGGGTGGAGTGTTGCGAAGTTCTGGCTGTGTGGTACTTAGTGAGTGCTTTAGTGCTGAACCCGCCTTTTGCCTTTCTGCTGCGCACATTGGCGACCTCAGCGCTGCTGGAAGGATCCTGTGCTCTTGGTCTTCAAAAGCGCAGAGTTCTTTGTTTGTCTTTCACAGCAGCCTTGCTGTCACGACCAGCATGGGGAGCCAGCATGATCTGAAGGTGAGTGCGCTTGCCGAGATACTTGCTGCGTCGCCCGCGCAAGTAGCCGACAGCTCCTGGAGATAGTTGTCATTTGCCAAGTCGGCTGAGCATAGCACCACAGCTCCCCCGCCTCCCGAGAAGTGACAGCCCGCATTTGCTTGTACCAACCCTCCCCGCGCGAATCCAGCAGAATCGTAGCTGTTGATACTGCCAACGCAGTTCCATGCCACCGCAGCTGCATCGCCGGGACCGCCCTCAAGCCTCATGGAGCGAAAGCCAGAACTTGCCGACGAGCAGCGGTCCAGGCAGCCGTGACAGTGGTTCTCGCTGGTATTTCTAAGGTTGATCTCCGTATGTGGGTCGCCTTCGCAGTCGTCTGAGCTGTACAAGCGAAGTATGGCCGCCACGCTGGAATCCACGGAAAACACAGTGGTCGAAGTCGTTGTCAATGACGTCGTTCCATCTGCCCCGGCGCCCCTCGATTGAAGAAGGATCACTAACGAAGCAGCAAGGCGAGAAGCAAGTCCATGGCCCAGCATCGCAGGTAACACCGTGGCTCACAAGACAAGACGAGTTTCCCTCTACAACTGTAGCAAGTCCTTTAGGTCTTGAAAGACACGAGCCGACCCAAATTCCGTCAGCCCCTCCTTCTGGCTTCTGAGAGTCGCAAAATGAGTCGAGAGATCGCGTGCCAGGTTCAGAATTAGGACAGGCACCAATCTCCAAAGCACCGCCTTGTTGTAAGTCTCCTCCTCCTGCTGCCGCTTGCGCTCCTCGGCAGCGATCCTTTCGGCCTCTGCACTCATCAAAGCTTTGAAGTTCAGTCATTGAGGCTGTTCAAGGGCACACCACAGGCTCGCATCTGCGCCTCAACCACACAGTCTGTGCAAGTATCAGCAGAACCCTTGAACCGAACTCAACATCCACAGACCCCTTGAAGGTTCCAAGAACACGTGCGGGGCCGCTGCCTAAACATGATGCAACCTCTGGGCTGGCCTCTCGCTTCCGAAGATCGGCCTCCCTCTCTTCATCCTGTGTACTCGGCGAGGTGTTTATGGCATTTGCAGATTTTTGGGGAGGAGGAGGAGGACCACTTGGCTAAGGCCCAGAACATCAAAGAGGACTTGTCCCTGTGCTACGTGCAAAACTCTAAGGTGTTCCAGCTTCGGGAAGCTTCGAGAGGACTTTCCGGGATCCTTGCTTGCAGATTGCATGCTCGCCTACTAGGGCTCCCTGTTCAGATGTGTTGTCTCTGCCTCGGCTCCTTCTCGAGCTGCTGAGGCCGATTGAGTTTCTCTTGATCCTGATAGTTCGCCCAGTTCCCCAGACCCAATTCAATGGCAGTCTGCTTGCCTGGCGCCTCTGCTGGGCCGGGTCAGCAGTGAGGAGCGTTTCCTGCTTTATCCCATCCGTGCACTCGGCATGCTGCTCTAGGGCTTTAGGGCCCAACGGGTCAGCATCAAATCAGCACTCTTGTCCAAAGAACTGTGGGATCGAATCCTGTCAAACGAGAACCCTACAACTACTCTGCCACAAATTCATGGCATGGCCGGTCATGGAAACCCGTTCGCATCGGCGCTCGCACATCATCATCGGCACGGCCTGCAACAAACACAGGAGCAGCACCGCTTGTGACGAGTCATTATCCGTCCAACTTCGAGCGTCGGCTGCAAGCAGTAAGAACTCGGACTATGGATGACGCTTACTGCAGAACTGTAGGAGTTAACAGTTTTCAACTCTGGGACGGGTTGAATGCGACACCAACAGCCTGCACTTGAGAGTTGCGCGATGAAGTCTTGGGTTCTGTGACACGTCCTGGTTCTTCAGATATGGCCTCCACCGAAGAAGCCTGTGGCAAAGGTCCCAGTTGGTGCTGCTGCTGCAGGTACAGGTACATGTGCCGCTGGCACTGCCAGCGCTGCAGTCTGGAACGGAGCATGCAGCGGCCGCACAGGCGCACGCTGCGGCTCAGGCGCCTGGGAGTTGGGAGTGCAGGCAAGCTGGCGAAGGGTTTCTTAGGCGTCAAGCACGACATAGCAATTGTCGCTGCGAGCTCCTTAACCCTCAATGCGCCCCCCCCTCCACCACCCTCGGATCTGTGGCGCGGCACTGCCCCCTCGCCCACGAGGAGGTTTAGTGCCTGCTGCAGGCAGAAATGACAAGCAGTAGAAGAACTTCGAAAGTTGATCCATCCGACTCGGGGTAGCTTGCGGCACGGAGGTGACCAGGGCATTCGTTGCAAAGACTCCGTCACACCTCTCTGAACAAGTTGTCGAACAATCCCAGCACTTGGACTTGAAGCCAACCTTCATTGTGCTGACTACGGCAACAGAAGACAGTTAATTAAACACAGTGGCTTCTTCTGTGACAGTTGATGTGACAAACATATCCGCCGGAAGAGAGAAGCTCTGTTGAAGCCTGAACCCTCCGCCCTCGTAAGTTGAAAGGCGCTGCAGCGCACGCCTCGCTCAGATTCCAGCCATTGGCCCGCAAGACCTGCCGAGGTGGCTTTGGAATACATGGGCGTTGATCTAAATTAATCTATCCCCGAGTGACCTTCTTCACAAAAAATATGATTTTCTTTAGCGGAACTTTCGCCCCAGCTTCCGCGCGCCCTTCGCGGACACATATTCAAGCATATAACAGTTCTATGAGGGCTCTTTACATGCCCTATAAGACTCTGTCAGAGTTTTAGTATGGGCGTTCTTACGCGTTTTAGACATTAAGGTTTAGGGTTCAAGGTTCGGCGTGTAGGGTGCGGGGCTAAGTTGAGGCCGGTTAAGGGTTTGGGCGGCCGAAGGTCCATGCTCTCGGCTGAAGTGCTAATGCAAAAGCTAGTGCGAGTTGTGGTATGTGGCACCAGTAGCCATAAAGAAATGGCAATGGCACGTTGCTTTCATATGGCAAACTCGACTTTAGCAGGACACTTTGACGAATCTTTCGCGCTACGCGCACTAGCTAGTACTAGTACTCGTACTCGTACTATCATTAGTAGTAGTCGTAGTAGGAGTAGTAGGAGAAGCAGTAACAGTAGCAATAGCCGGAGCACTACTAATAGAAACCACACGCCACATCATCAACAAGATCACTATCACGACGAGAAGCAAAAGTAAAATGCGAACTAAAATGGACCACTTGTTTGAGAAACTTAAACTCCTTGAGTGTCTACGCTCTTGAGCCTGAGCTCCAGCCCAATCAGCCCACTCTCGCACATAAATACATGCATGCATACATGCACACCTCCACCAAAAAGAGAACAACCATATCTCTGAAATCCCTGGTGAAGGACACAGTCTTCGCAAGTCTGCAAACTACAGTAACTACAGCCCTTCTTCTTCCGCGCTCACAGCGTCCCACAACTCGGTAGAAAAGCTGAACCTCCTCCGCCAGCATGCGGTCGGCACCCGGGCCGAGGGCTTCCAGCAGCCGATCGAGCCTGAACAAAACGCTGGGAATGGCATGCCGGGTTGAAGCTTCCGCAGAGACCGGCTGAGGCTGGCGGTCCACACAAGACCGACGAAATCCATCAAAGCTTGAAGTCTTAACTTAGCTCACTATCTTGCCTATAGATTTGCCAGCGAACTTTCTGGAGAGTAGCTTTGCTGCCTCACGGCCTAGCATGTCAAGTCTGAAAGTCTTCGACCTTCCGGGCTTGGGGCAGTGTGCCAAAGGATACCGCATGGACCAGAATGTATTGTATAGGGAGCTTCAGCTACTGCACCCTGCAGACACGCAGCGATGCAAGGAGCAGCTCGAAGGCGTCAAGCCCGAATCCGAGTCCGAACATCTCACCTCTTGGGAGTCGAGTAATCGATGAATCGAACGGAAGTCGAATGGTATCAACCCCTCGTTTTGGCGAAGAGACAAGGCTTGAGGCAGAGGCTTCTCGTTGTTGTCCATCTTCCGCTCCGATGCTCAGCGAGGTTGGGCATGAGTCATCGTTCTTGTGCAGTGGGCTTTTGAGGCCAAGGAGCTTTGTGGGGAAATCTGCTGTGTTGCAGGTTGGGTCTGTCGCAGAGTCTTGCGTGTGGTCGAAGAGATCCAAGCTCTGATTTCATTGTCGGTTTGCACTAGAGCCGAAAATCGGAGTGCAAGGCCAGGCATCGAAGTGTCATGTCATGTGCATCTCACATGTGGACCCAGCACACTAACCTTAACAGACCAACATGAGTTGTCGTATCACGTGTAGCACACCTAGCCCTCAACTCAGTATCCAGCCACAGCCACGGCCGACCTTTTCTTCGTCGAGATCCGGGTTGGCTGCAGGCCGGCTCCAAAGCAACACAACGGCGCCCATGCTTCAAACCCTTCAAAATCAGCATGGTCAGGCCCCAGAGATTGAGGCCATCCTAACATGTGGCTCCAGAACACCTCGGCTGTCTTCAGTTCTCCGACCTCCAAGTTCTGATGTTTTGCGTTTGGAGTTTGAAGAGATCAGCGGAGTTCTGGGCTCGATGTCTAAAAGCATTGGGGGCTATAGCCGGTCTGGAAAGAAACTACGAATCCTTTCGCTTGCTAGGCCCTGCTAGGCCTGTGACCTCCAGGGTCTTTCCAGGCGGCTATTTAGCGTGCGGGCACGCTCGTGCGACATGGAAGTCTCAGACGAAGCCTTCTGCGCTGGCTTAGCTGCGCCTGCCTGCGGACCTCGATCCGCGCGCAGTTTCCGCAAGTTCACGTGCTTTGCCCCGCGCTTCGCACCGCGCTTCGCACGGAGCCGGACTCTGAGGCTTTGAGGCTGCACTTTTGGCTGCCCAAGCACTCCTCAAGGCCAAGAGGAATCCCTATATGTGGCAACACGGCACAGGCTCGAACTACAAAAACGGCACCCGACTATCTCCGATAAAATCATAAGCATGGTTGGCCTTCTAAGTCCTTCGAGGTGGGCTTTGCCGATTTCGGCGCGCCTGTGTCTGACGTGCTGCCAGGGGACAGGGACGGGTCTGCCTTCGTCCCGCAGAGTGGGCAATCATCTCCGAAGCCCAGCTTTCGGGATGGTTGGGGGTCTGCGTGGAAATTTAGAGCTCCATGTTGCTCTGCTTCAAAGCTGAGGTGTGAGAGTTTCACATGTCAGTGTCAGTGATGCTAACTCTGTCCCACGTCTTGCTGCAAAGCGGGCTTCGGGCTGAGATCTTGCAACCCAAACTGCGCCCGCTGCTTTTCAAGAGGTAGTCTCTCGGTCCTAGGTGCTGCCTACGGAAGTGGAGAGACCAAGCCTTGGACCCTTCTGAATATAGCTTCGCCGTTGGCCTTTGAGAGTGTGGTGAACTACATGTTGCAGTCACGGTGCTCTTGGGATCCCCGTTCCATCCGCTCTCAGGCTTCCTCGCCATCCTTGGCGTCGCCCTTGTCTGCCTTCTTCTTCTTGGCCTTCTTGGGATTGGCCTGCAAGCCAATGGCTGATTACTGCTGTGGTCGGGTGATGGGCCCTTGGAGAGGAGAGCAAGGATAAGATAGTTACTTGTCGCGATACAATCACAATTATGCGGGGGGGCCGACACAAAACTTGAAATTAGATCTCCAGATCTGACCGCTCTTGGACTAAATCTCCAGGCTGTTCCCGACTCAAGCCGAGCATGCGGGCAAAGCTCCAGACCACGCGTTCAACACTTGCAGAAGCCCAGCTGAACAAGGCTGGAGATGCTGAGTGGTGGGCTGAGGTTGCCAGCAGCTTCTTCATGTCCTGAGGTAACTTCCAAGCTGTCGATCGTCATTCGCAACTCAGACTGCCGACGACTAGCCACAAACACATGCTGGTTAAGTCATCATTCTTTGGGCAACCTGTCGATGCCGCTTGCATACCTGTCCTCGTCCACGACAGAAAGCTCTGATGCGGCCTGAGGGTGGCAGATGCAAGGAGAGACCTTAAGCCTTAAGGGACACTCGCAAGCCTTACGTAAACATCTCGACATCTGCGCTTCCCACCCCGCACGCCACCGTAGACAATGGCTCCAGGTCGGTGTGCCTGCTCCTGGAGCTTGCCCAGGGCGAGACCCGTGATCTTCTTCGTGCCGCCAGGCAGCAAGAGCCTCTTGTAAGAACAACATGGACGACTCTAACAATGGTGGCGATGCCGCTGGTGGTGTGGCCGAGGATAGTGCCGCTGCTGATGACGGTGATGGTGATGGTGATGGCGATGGCGATGGCGATGGTGATGGTGATGGTGATGGTGATGGTGATGGTGATGGTGATGGTGATGGTGATGGTGATGGTGATGGTGATGGTGATGATGATGGTGATGATGATGCTGATGAAGATGCTGATGATGCTGCTGATGGTGATGATGATGATGATGATGATGCTAATGATGTTGCTGATGATGATGATGATGATGATGATGATGTAGATTATGATGATGATGATGGTAATGGTGATGACGGTGATGCTGATGCTGATGCTGATGCTGATGCTGATGCTGATGCTGATGCTGATGCTGATGCTGATGCTGCTGATGATGATGATGATGATTATTATGATGATGATGATGATGATGATGATGATGATGATGATGATGATGATGCTTATGATGATGACGATGATGATGATGATGATGACGATGATGATGACAGTGATGATTTCAGACGGTACCACTCAGCAACACGCGACATTGACCTGCTGAAGAGCCTTATTCGATGCCTAGCCACCCTTGAATCGACATCAGCATCCTCAACCATCGGACCGGAATGACACGCAAGCCTGTCCCCAACCTCTGGAGACGGCGCGCCAACCCCAGACTAAGCCCACGACAGGGTGAATTTAAACTGCGCAGCAAATTCCTCAGAGGCATCTACTGGCAAGCAGCAGAGATTCTGGGGTGCCTAACTGTCATGTTCGCTTGAAAGGTTACAGGCTTCAGGTTCTGGAAGAGCCTGGTGAATTCGACGGCTTTCTCGGGTCTGCTTTGCAGCTCTACACTTCGAAAGAAAACTAGCAAGTCCTATCACAGCAGCTATTTGTAGCCGAGACATGCTAGGACACTTACCCAGAAAGCATTCACAGCGGCGGTTTCCCTGTAACCTGGAAACGGGGCCTGGGACATTCGCAAGAAAACGCTGCACCTATCAACAACATCTGAAATCGCAAGCCCGGTAGCTGCCTGTATCTGGTCTCGGGTCACTATGGTCACTCTCTGAGCTGCAGATGGGCCGCACTGTGCGCTTCCTTCAGCACGGGATACCTCAGCCGCTAAGTTTAAGCTGTCGTGGACAATCAGAGTGTCTGGTAGGTTGGATGAGAGACATTCCTGTTGGAACGCCTGTGGAACGGGAGCCTGACACTGCACCCCTTGAAACCGAAGCAAAGATCACGCGATTATCGCTGGATGTGCGACAAGCACGAATTGTCGGATAGATGGGTTCTGGAACCCCATGCGATGATTGCATCAGTCGATTGAGCGTGCTGGTGCTGAGACTTTAGTCCTGGATTTGTCGCTGGACTAAGCACTTCGTGGCTGTGGGAACGCACCTCCTTTCCCCCTCTCCCACCCTGCGTGCAAAATGCAGGCCAGCACTGTCTTGCTGGCGGTGGAAACGGCCCCGTAGTGAAGGACTGTAAGGAGCGAGGCCACGGGCCAAAGCCCCACCAAACGACGCTGTGAAGTGCAGCCCGCACAATCAAAGGAAAAGAAGGCCATAGTGAAGCCTTCTTTTGCGGATAGCTCAAAAAGGCCGCGGCTCGTCGAGAAGCTCGTGCCGCTTCGCCTCGGAGACGCCCACTCGGGCCACCTGACAACTGACATCTCTGCGACTTCCCCCAGCGTCTGACTGGCAAGCTGATTGTAGGCGCCTGTTCGTCTTCAATGGCCCGCAAAGTGAACGGCAAAGCAGGAAATCGTCGATTCACCTGACGGCTCATGCAGGCGACAAACATGTCGTCACGGAGACTCTCACACCAACGACCTGCAGCTACACTTGTGAACTACGACCAGGCTGTGGCAAAGCCCCAGCTCCTGCATGTCGCACACTCCCTTGACAATCCACTTTGGCCTGAGAGTCTTTGATTTGGATTAAGCTGAGAAGGCATCTCACTGGCATGAACGGTCACACCACTGATGAACATGCTGCTGGTGCAGCAACACGGAAGATTGGATGACATCTGTGTGGTTTTGTCGACGCTAGGCGTGAGGACGGTGGGCATCCCTGCCCTAACAAGCTATCACAATCACGTCATGCTTGGGCCATGTCGGCAGTCCCACCTCCGAGATGAACTGCCTAGCCTTCTGCGTCTTGAGGCTATACATATTTTCAACCTCGCTGGAAGCAGAAGCGGGAAGTTAGTTAGAAGGCAAGCCAGACAGAAGGCGATGCTTTGCAAACAGATTATCCAATCTTGGCTGGCGGCCGCTCGCTTGTAGACGGTATTTCTGAGCTCAGTCTCTTTTCCTTTACCTGGCAAGCTTCCAGAGTTCCCACTATCAAGATGCAGAGATTCACTTGCCTCTGTGACATGATCTCACATGTGTGTGTGTGTGCCCTATCCTCTGTCAGCTTTGCTAGCCGCCCTGAGCGATAATGAATCCACTACCACTACCACCGCTTCGAAACTTTGTAGCCGCTCTAAGAGGTCGCTTTGTGACAGCATAGAAGGAAACATGCCCTTGCTGGGAACCGCGTATTCCGACAGCCCTTAGTTGAACTCAACACGATTTCCCCAATCATCTTGCGGCTTAGCCTTCGCCGGTGGACATGACGACATCGATGCTGTATACCTCGTTCAGTTCGAACTCAAACTCCTCAACCTGCAAGGCCAAATGGTGAATTTGACAGACAGCATAAGAGGCTTGCAAGACTTGGATGGCAAGTTGTTACCAGGGTGTGCAAACTCGCACCTGCAGATCCACATACGTATGGCGGTTTACGCTCCTAGTTGTCACTTTCTGTGCCGGTCGAAAGCTCAACCTGTCAGGGCGTGCCTGACATAGACAGTACATGGGCCAGTCGCAAGACAGAGCCCCTTTGCGCGAAAGAAGCTGGACACACAGAGTAAACACTCTCCCCACGAACCTTACCAAAGCACACCTTCGGAATTTTGTCCTGCAACTCTCCCATTTGCTGGTGCCTTCTCTTCCGGAGTCTCGGCGCAGATGATGGTGCGGTTCCCGTCAATAACGTGCTTCTTCAGCTGGTGGGAGAGAACCCCTGAAGGCAAGGAAGATGACGATGATTTCTTCGTGAATGAAAGGATCTCATTGAAACTTATTTTACTTCGAACATCCCCACCCTAAAGATAATGCATTTGGGGGCCACACCGCTGACTGGCGTTATGGTCGTGAGGTCCCCGGTCAGGTAACAAAACACAATTGTTCGATTCAGGTCATTCGACGACCCATAGGGTCACACCACCGACTGGCGATACGGACGTGGGGTCCCAGTACGCGTAACAAAACACGTGTTCCATTCAGGTCAGTGGATCCATGGGGTCATACCAAGGCCCGGCGTTACGGATGTGGGGTCCCCGTACACGTAGCAAAACACGAGTTTTCGACTCAGGTCATTCATGGGGTCGCACCACTGACTGGCGTTGCGGGCGTGGGGTCCCCGTACAAGGTACAAAACGCGAGTTTGACACATGCATGGGGTCACACAGCAACCCACTAACTGGCTTTAAGGAGGTAGGGTCCCCGTACACGTACCAAAAAATGTGTTCGAATGTGTTCGATTCGAGTCAGTCGACGCTGCGTGGGGGCGCTCTACTGACTGGCGACGATAGTCTTTGGGGTTGGGCACTCCAATGAGCTTCACGGTAGTCCCGTCTCTGGGGGTGGGCGCTCCAGGCAGTCTCGGAGCGGACGGCGAGCAGGCGGTAGTAACAGTTGACTTTAAAATCGAACGACCCTATACCGAGGGTGGGGAAAAAAATTGTGTTAGGCTCCGGCCGACAATGCAGACAACCCCAACAGAGATCGGAACAGATGCTTTGCTGCGCAAGCGCTTCACGACTTGCAAACTCTGCTGGCCTTGCATGGGCTTGACCTTGAAGTCCTCGGCGATCTTGGCAAAAGCCTCAGTCACCTTGACACCGCGCCGCAGCCCAACTGCTGAGTCTTGCACATGTTGTCAAGCGTCGCTGTCAAAAAGCCCTCTCTACACATAACTGGTCCTCCATAAGGCTCTCCTGAATTCTGCTCGAAACTGGATAACAGGAGACGTGTGACGTGCCTGCGTATTCCTGTTGCCGACCTGCACCAACCGCAATGCAGCCTTGCGGCTTCATCTCATAGGGGCTTTGAGGGCTCCGGAGAACTCCGGAGGACTTCGAGCTTGCGTTTCGGAGTTTGTCGGTTGGCAGCAGGGCAGATCGAGGACTGTTGGGATCGGCCTCTGCAGCGTTCCAAGCGGCCATGACGACATCGGCCTGCTTGCCGGTGACCTGCGAGCAACTCGCAAGTCAAATCATCCAAGCGAAGCTGCAAGTGCCCACGTGAAGTCTTGTCCAAACTGCGGAACATCAACTGATCTCTACTCTGTAGAGGCCTTCTCTCCTCCCACGATTATGGTGTGAGCGGCAGAGGCGATGAAGCCTGGCACAAGGGAATTCCCTTTCCGACCTCGCTGCAGGATGCCTTTCGTAAGACGTGCTGAAAGTTTGGCAAAGTCGCAGAGCAAGCTGTTGCAGAGCCCAGCTCAACAGCTCAACGCTAGTAACATCAGCGAAAGTTGGTAAGCATCGCCGCAGCGCCATCGATGTGACACGCCAAATCGATCTTGGCAACGTCGCCAGGCTTCAGTTGCCTGGCTGGGGCAAGCTTATCCTTCGGTCGTTCCAGCATGTCACTTCTGCATCTCCACACTTCAAACTGTCATCTACGCGAATCCAGCACAAGACTCAAACGCTGAGAGCCGTCTTTGAGGATCCCCAACTGGCTCTGGGCGTCCGGCCTGGACTCGCCCTTAGCCACAGCAGTGCTCTCTGCTCTGCTTTGTGGCATCGCTTTGTCGACTTTCAGCGGGTTGCACAAGGATGCATCAAGTTGCTGCTAGGAATGTGACAGCTCTTCTTACGCCTTAAGCACGCGTCTACAAGGTGATGAAGCCTTCATGCTGGCAAAGGCTTCTGTGAGGTGGCAAAATGGCCTGCCGAGATGCCCAATCTTGAGGTACCGGGCAAAGAGGGCTACAAGTAGAAACCCCAGCTCAAGTCACATAGAGCATGGCCGAAGCCAGTGGCTCCTCGCACTGTAGAGCTGTCGCCAGTCACAAATGGATGGCACACGGCCCACGGAGGCCCGTCACTGTGAAGGTCAAGCTGGGGCCTGTACCCGGAGCGGCGAGAAGTGCCCCACGATCTCGTTCACGGAAATGCACGTAGGGAAGGCCACGCCCTGAGCGCAATTTTGCTCGCTCTCCCCAGGCCTGGCGGCCTGGCGGCCTGGCGGCCTGGCGGCCTGGCCTTCTCCATCTTCTTGCCTTCTTTGTCCTTCTTGTTGTACAGCTTACCCGTCCTCGGACATCCGAGCCCTCAAACGCTCAGGGTCGTAGTCTTCGGACCAGGGCCGCAGCTCTTCCTCCATGATCTTGTCCCCCATGTCGCAAAGCATGACCTGGCTAGCTCTGCTTCGGCAGCTAGCGTCTCTGCCCCCCGCAAGGAAAACACTCAAGAGATACGCTCGAGCTGTTGCTTCGCTTCAACCGCTCTGACGCGAGAAGTGGCACCTCAACCCAAAGCGTGTCTCAAGTCTGTGGATGCATAGCCGACATTGCCTGCACCAACTCACTACGTGCCACTTCGAGCACAGGTGCGACACTATGACTTGGTGCCCCAGTCGAAGGCATGCCCGGAGGGAAATGCAAAACCAGGAATGGGACACACACACACACACGAAGTTCACAAGAACAGCCGATCTCGACTTGAGTGTGTCCTGGCTCACGAAGAACCGTCTCCAACATGGCAGGTGTACAACATCCGCATCGGGCACACAAGCGTCTACAACTTTCTGCAGTGCCTGGCCGGGATGCCGGAAGCATCTTATGTCACAGCCGACCGTGTGATTTACCACAAGTCCACCAAGAGCGTGAGACTGGGTTCTAGTCTTTGCGTGTTATACTCACCAAGCTCAGGTTGGACCAAAGCTCCTACTGTTTTGTGCAAAGGGTCTATACTCTTGGAGCCTTGTTCACGATGTCTGCGGCCGTCCGATACTTCGTGGTAACCTGCAGCTAGCTTGGAAACTCCGCGAACAGGAGCCGTCAGCCCTGTCATGCCCTGCATGTATCCCTCTGAAACTTGGTGCCCGACGTCAGGGTTCGAAAGGTCGCTCACTTCCTCATTCCTCAGCACGCTGTCACAAGTAGAAGCTCCTTTGTGCACAGAATTTCCGCCTGTAAAGCTCCCGGACTCAGGCATAGCCTCGTGACTCAAAGGGCGTGGCTCGGATTCGTTGTCGGACATAGCTTCGAAGGGTCGAAGCCACGCAAGTCGTCCTGCAGCGACTTCTTACGCTTGATTCCGAAGAAAAGCCGAAGCATCCTTCCCTACTCACCCTACTCTATCCCAAGCCGCTGAGAAGCAATCCGCCAACCCCTTCTTTGATCCCTCGCTTGAGAGCCCACAGGGCCTCTTCGATCCAGACGGCCGGTGCGTTCCAAAGGAGCCCGCTACCGAGCCAAAGGGATTTGTTGCGGAGTTGCGGCATGCCTTGTGCCTTTCTCGCAATACCTTCGGGAGCTCAGTTGCGCAGCATCTCTAGACGCAAGACCGTACATGTTGCATGCTCAGAAGTTTTAGTCTTGTGCCTTTTATTGGATGCTCCACCTTCCTGAATCACTTCGGCATCCTTTTCGTAAGAGCTTCTGCAGTAGTGTGCGTCGCACACTTTGTGTAATTGCGGGTACAGGTAGTCCTGCATAACGACTTTGTGTAATTGCGAGTACAGGTTGTCCTGCATAACGACCTATATACACTGAAACTGCACAGAAGTGTCAGCACTCGCCGCCCTCTTATGCACGTTGGAACATTGCTTTGCAATGTGTCACAGAATTTACAACTGTACGTAATTCCACCTACCAGGGTCCAAGCGCAAGCTTTCTGAACTCGCTGTCCAGTCCCTGCTCGTCACTCTGCTGACATCTCAATCGTCGTGGCGGTGCAGGCATAGCTTCACAGGCCTGCCGTCATCCTGCATCTCCTGTCTGCGCCCGCTTCCACTTGAAGGTGCTACTGCTCACGCCGACAAAGTGGCCCAAGGCATTCAGCCAGTGCTCAAACTCCTCCTCCCCAGGAGCAATCAGGACAAGGCCTCTCCTCCGAAAATGGAGGAAGATGCTCAAGTACGGCTTGCATGCGTCCACGTCCTGAAGATCCTTCATGTCATACACACTTATGGGAATTGCCTTGTCCTGCTTCCCACTGTTAAACAACGACCACCTCTTCCGGCGGGCATGAAGCACCTCGATCTTGTAGACGAGGCCCTTCGGAGGCCTTTGGGTCCAAATCACCAGGATGCCTGTGTGCTCGTCAAGCTCCACCCAACGCCTGATCTCGGTGGCTTTCCAGAATCCACTGTGGAGCTGTGACAGCTCCCCTCGAAGAGGCTCCTTTTTTCGCACACCTGTCTGGCTCTGCACATACTGCAGGACTTTCTTGTCGCGCTCAAACTTCTCTTTGCGAGCCAACGCTCGGGCCCGAGTTCTTTGAAGCTCCTCCTCAAAAGGCTTCTCCGAAGGAAGGTGCACCTGCGCTGCAAAGTCGGTCATGTCTTTGTACCATGGCGAGGGTCCAAAGAGGTTTGTTTTGGGATGGCTTTCCGCCGTGGTTGTGTAAATGCTACAAGCAAAATGCTTTCTGCGATATGTCTCCTTCGGCCTGCCGAAGGAGACATATCGCAGAACGCATTTGGCAAAAAGAAAACCATCTCGAGCCGCACGGGTGCAGTCGAAACATGTCTGAAGGCGTGCAGGATTGGCGGTGCTTTCTGAGCTTTTCAATCCATATTAAGACGTGCCCTAGATGCAAAGCAGCGCATAAGTCATGTAGGGATGCCGGTGATAAAGCCTTCGTGGATGCCTTGAAGGATCTGACACCCTGGGCAGACGACTTCGTCCTTAATGCCGACAGTAACAGGGAGGCACAAAACAAAGCATTCGCAGCAGCCAACAAGGACTACGACCGCGCCCAGCACTGAACATGTCCATCCGATAGTGCAGCATTGCAAGGACAAATGTGCCTCAAAGAACAAGGGCCACAAGATTTCGACGACCAGCAAGTGCGAAAATCCACTCCTGCCGAGATCAAGCCACGACCTGATCGACGGGTTTTTCAGCTAGATGCTTGTAAACCTCAGCGGGATGGCGACTTGGAACGCTGCAAGTCTCATCTAAAGGACATGCTTCAGCTCCCTGCACCCTTTCGTGCTGCGAGACTGCGAATTCGGAAAGACCGCATTGGCCAAGCTGCGACCCCTTGACGAGCCTGGTAACTGCCATGACTGGTTGGTTCCAAAACTCTTCTCTGGATAAACCTGCCCATCCCTCGATGCTGCCTCTGGCATTATCAGATCTTATGCTTGGGTTCGGAGGGCATCGTGCGCGGCAGGCAACCGCACCAGGTTCCATAAACGGGGCGTCGAGTCTTGACTCCTTCATGGCATAACATGCCAGTGCCTTCCTGCAACCTCCAGCCTCAACTTTAGGTCGTCTGTTTCTTCGCCGTGCTTCCTTGCAGCAAACGCTAGACTCATGATTTACAAAGCTTCCACCGACAACGGGTCGCAGCCTCCGAAAGTCGTTCTTAGTCGAGGCGAGCCAGCATCCAAATCCGTGCAGAAGTGTTGCCACGCAGCGACTCGCACTATGAGAGCCCCATACTTACAGGGGGGTGCGCTCTTTTCTCATGTTTCACTCAAGGCGGGGCTCACTTCCGCAAGAAGCCTCGGATGGCGAGCCAGGCTCGCCCAGAGCTCAGAGCCTTGAACCATGGACCAGCACTGGGCCGATGTGAAACGAGGCCTTGCAGGACCCGTAAGGCCGCTTGTTGCGCATCGAGAGCGCTCCGGAGATGTTACTGAGGCTCAGTAGCACTCGCTATGTTTCTCTAGGCTGCCCTGAGGTACTGGTAGTGATGGCCAAATCCTGCGTTAAGACCTTCGTCGACAAGAAACTCATCTGGAGAGCGCTCTCGGCGACCGAGCCGGAAATGAAGGCTCGAGTGCAAGTCCCTCTGAGGGGTACGGAACCCGGGTAACGGCGCTAGTTGAGGTCGTTCCATTACTTTTGCTCATGAGCACAGGTAAGACAGCTGACCTTACAAGGGGAGAGCGGTTGGAAAGCAACCAGCCGTGTCATCCGTACCCGCACGCAGGGAAATCAGAAGGTATAGACAAACCGCGAGCGTCGCCAACAGAAAACCGGTGAACACCAGAGGAGAGAGGCGACCCCAAGCAATATCCAGGCAACTGCAAGCCGAGCCATGTCCGGAATCCCGTTGCCAGGTTGACTTACACGTTGACTTACTGCTGCTATGGAAGTGACCGAGCCAGGCATAGGAATTTTACGCACTTTTGAAAACATCAAGATTCCGTCTCGGAGCTACTGCAGATCGGAAAAAACTAAGACCCGGCATGTTGTCAGTTTTGCGTTCCCAAACGTGGCGCAATGAATTGAGTTCGATCGGCAGTGCTGCTACCTCACTGTAATAGGCACAGACAAAGCAACGTATACAAGAGGGCGACTAGCAGACGCCAAGTCCACGTCACTAGAAGATGGCTCGTTTTGCAGATCTGAAAGCTTCTATGGGTTCACCACTCTTCCCGACTGGCATCATCCGGCATCACTCAACGCACAGTGCGGCGAGCGGCCTCAACAAGGCAATGACAAACTCCGTAAACCTTCAAACCTGATCCAGAGACCACGGTACCTACCCGACCAGCGCAGCGAACAATGCAAAGCAACTGCGCAGTGCGACTTCTCAGGCCCACGCCGTCGAGGCAACAGTGTGAACCTTCGTCACAGTCGGGGACACACCAAAAGAGGCATACGAAAGTAAGTATATCCTAAAACGGAGTATGGAGCACGGCTCCATCAGCCTTTCACCACCATCTTCCTCTGTCTTCTCTGCACCTTCGGTTCGACCTGTCTCTTCCTCCTCTTCTCCGTCCTCGTCATGCCGGTCCGCCTCACCCTCCTCCTCATCATCATCACAAGAGGCATCACGATCATCAACAAGCAAGGCGAGACCTCAGCGAACGTTTAGGACGCTGAAACCTCGAAGCCAACAACTCCCGCATAAAATGCAAGTCCATGTTCGTGCAGTGGCAGCTGTGCAAGTCTGTCACAGAAAGAACATCTAACGCCCGTTGCTGGCCGGACTCTGTAGGCTCCCTGCCGGGGGTCTCACGCCCAGTCGGGTGCGTGCGCTCGAGGGATGCGCTGTGTGGGCCGTGTGGGCGGTGTGCACCACCTGGGCGGCAGGTAGACATACGATGTATGGATGTATTGAATTGCATGGCATGTTATGGCACGGCATGGTATGGCATGGCATGGCATTCCTGTGCATGGTATTCCAGTGCTTGCAATCTTTGTTTATGCTGTATGTCATGTTGGTAGCATTGGTAAAGTATGTAATGCATGTATTGGTGCATGTATGCATTGTGTGTGTATCGTATGTAATGTATGTCGTGTGAGCAATGTATGTAGTGTATGTAATCCATGTAATGTATGTAATGTATGTAACCTGCGTATGCATGCGCAACATAAATACAGGAGAACTAGCTATGCGTTACACGCGCACACACACACACACACGCGCGCGCGCGCGCGCGCGCGCATGCGCGCACGCACGCGCGAACGCATGCACACACACACACACACACAACCTGAACTGTTAAAACCGAACATACTATGTGGAGACATGCTTATGATTGAATATGCCTCAAACAACATCTTAGCTTCGCAGAGAGTTTCTGAACGGCCATGGTGAATCCGGTCAGCAAGCTCTGCTATTTGCCAGATCATGAGTTCCTCCACCAAGCCGCGGGATGGGCCGCGGGGTGCGATGCAGAGTGCGGCACAGAGTGCGGCACGGAATGCGAGCTGGGGCCAGTCGTCGCAGCCTGGAAGGAACTCTGGGCATTCGATGGCCAGGCGAAGTATTCAAGTTACTGTTGCGCTTGTGTTGCATAGTCGTCTTTTCCTCCTTTTGTTCTTTATCCCGTGCTAAGTGTCTTCCTGCTGAAACTTGTGTCTTCTGGAGACCTTCCCAGGCAGGTAAAGCCAGGTCTCAGAAACTCTCTACGAAGAATCCGAAATCGAAAGAACCCCAGAAAAGCGCAACCCGAGCCGAGCCCGGAGCCGCCCGGCGACGTGCACTCTCCGTGGACCTGCACAGGACTGGAGCAGACAAGTCACGACCACCGCATCGGAAGAGTCGCCACGGTCACAATCATGCTTGCGATATGTACTACATACAGTTCTCCTCCACCATCACCATGGGCATGGTCGTTATCATGCTACAGTTTCGTCATTGGACCGCGCCTAGGCCTAGAACCCATCTGGAGCTCACATCAAATTATGCCAGCATTGACCCCAAGCGGGGAACCTTCGCACAGCCGATATCCGCAACGGAGTCTCAGCGGACTTGTCTGGTATCGCTCGTCCGAAGATCGTGCATCACGACCGCCACTGAGTCAGGGTGCCTGGTCAGATCACGTGGCGAAGCGCCCGTTCCGGAGCTCCGCACAGTTGCAGGTGGAGACCTAAGGTGCGACTTCGGTTTTCGAGTCCAGCTCTACAGCTTGAGGCCACGACGAGGCACTAGGTCGGCCACTGACACGACAGGCTTGCGACTGTACTTGTGGAAATCTTGTGCTTTCGCTGTGCTAGAGTCCTCGCCGTTGATTCTCTACCGACCCTGCAAAAAAATCAGGCAATCTGTCACATAATTTCTGGCATCGGAACGATCAGAAGGGTCTCGAAAGAGAGTAAGCTCTTGCAATCTCAGTGGAAGACTCAGACGACACGACTTCTTGGAATACTGAATCAGGTTTTGAGGATGCCGCAGCCATATCATTTGCCTTTTTCATTCCGGGGCAAGCAATACGCCGAAGCCCAGCGTGGCACCGTCTTGCAGCATCCTTAGTGCTCAAATCGATTCAAACACGTTGATCACAATTCGGCAACCACGGACAGCGCTTGTGGCTTGACACAGGTAAGTCATGAGGGATGTCAAAGGCAGGAGTGGGGTGCGACTTCAATTCAAGTGAGATTCGGCTTCAAGTGAGATTCGGATTCCACCCCGTCCCGCCTCTGTCCAAGAAAGCTACACAAGCCCCGCTCTCCGAATGTAGGTTCTGCAGCTCAGCAGCCAGGCATTGACAGGTGCTGCCTCACCCTCCAACCTGCCACAACGAACTCGGAATCAGTCATCCCCTCTTGTGCAGCAAGTAGTGGATAGGCGTGATACTTCAAGCAGCCGGTGCTTGTCGAAGTGGCATGAACTGCACGAATGGACTGGCTTTATTCGAAGGGCTTGAACAGCCCCCGGACCCCAAAGTCTCTCAGACAGAAATGACGAAGGAGTGTTAAAAAACCAACCCACGATGTGTCCAACAACTCGGTGCAGTTGTGTCTCCCATGCTTGTCCAACCAGCCGGGACGAATCCAAACATCCAGAACACGCTCCAACAGATGACTACAAGATCCCCAAACATTGAGGAGTCTGCATGGTGTAGGAACGTTGAAATGAGACTTTCAATGGGCTGAAAGAACCTCCGGAGCTCGCTGAACTCGGCAAGCCAGTCATCCTGCACTCTGCTCGGACTAGTCATATCCACAGCATTCGTAATGCTACAAGCAGCAGTAGCACTAAAGAAGCATTCGTTCGTGACATAATTAGCCGTAGTTGATAGATGTTTCTGTTAGCCCGCAACATGCATGGGAAGCGCTGGTGATGGTGATGGCATTGCATTCTGATGTTGCCCGTAATCTGACAGATCTTGGACTGCCAACTGCTGCTGGTGGCGCTGGCGCCGGCGCTGGTGCTGGTGCGGGGGCTGGGGCTCTAGCGCTGGCGCTAAAGCTAGTGGCGGCGGCGCTGGTGCCTGGTGCTGGGGCACTGGTTGTGATGTTGATGGTGAAGGCGACGACAACGACGAAGACGACGACGCCGGAGAGGAACAGTCGAGATGGGGGGCTCGCGCAGCCATTCTCTCAACTCCCTTCCTTATACACAGCAGCCAAAATCTGAAATATTCAGGCATGTATCTTTTTGCTAGCCTTGAACGGCTGAAGCGTACAACAATGCTGAGCCCAGAAGCCATCTCCTCAATCGAGAGTTGTACCCATGGCGGCTCCTGGCACAGAACAGCTGCGTTTGCTGCGCTTGCTCCGGGCTCTCCCCGGGTTCGCCAGACGGTCCTCCAGCTCAGCGACGACATAGTCGCCCCGGCGCTTCACGCCCAGTATGGCCCCATCAGGTTTTGGCGCATCGCGAATGGCAACCACTCCTGCATTGCATCCACCCCGAGAGTCTTGAGGTGAGGCAACTGCGGGAGTTGCCACAATAGCCATTGGTTGCCTCGTTAATTGAACCATTGCCTCTTGCAAACGGCGTTATAAGATGTAACAAGATTCAATGGAAATCTTCATGGTCCCATATTGGGGCAGGGTCCGAGTCAGCAAAAAGAGTCATAAACATCAGGGCAGAATCAGCAAGCAGGTCGGATGCAAGTCATCAACAACACAGTCGCAGTCAGTAAACCCCAGAGCCCCAATCGGAGGCGCCCAGCCGGAAACGCAAACACCAAGGAAGTGCCATGCGACGGCGGCACCTCTAACGCAACGACATGCTCCCGGAAATGTAGTGAGAACTTGCCCGACAGTTCACCGTCAAACATGTCCCATCCATCTCTGGAGACGTACAGATAGCAATGCGTGCAACTACTTGAGGGTGCAAGAGGAAGTACTGCGTGGTCGCTTCTGTTTCCCGTTTTCCCATGTCCAGCTTGCGGCTTACTGATTGGAGCTTCCTGCTTTTTGACTTCCGCGGCCGCTTGCTTTTGACACGAGGCCACTCCGTTTGCGACAGGCAGCGGCTGGTTTTCTGACTCGATTTGCAGACAATCGCCCGGATTTGCTAACACAGGCTACTCTGCCCCTCCCCATGCCTCTGGAAAATCCTCCCATACCCTCAGAATCCAAACTCAGGACCCTGCGGCCTCTGCTGACTCCCTCTGCCACGACACGCAGCAGGCGTAGCCCCTCAGAAGCCGCGCGGCCGCGCGGGGAAGAGGTCGCCATCCTAAACGATTGTGGTTATGGATGTTTGGAGCCCAAAAAGTCCCTAAATCGTTTGTGGACTTTGGTCAGGGCATCTTTGCTGCATCAGCCAGGAGGAGAGTGCGGCCATGCTTCAGAAGTGTTTACAGAGCCCAGCAGAAGCTAAATTGAACCCCGAAACCCTGAACCCCTAAACTGCCCTAGCCGCTAGCCCCGAAAGCCTGAAACTTCAAAGCTCTGATCTCTTGAACTCCCAACCTGACTGCGAGCCCTTAAATTTCCAACGGCGCGCCTGGTTCGATGCTCCATGCAGTGCTTGTCGGGTGGAGGACGCTCGAAGAAAACCTGCAGAGCTCGGGGTTACGGTCTTATCGATTCACACAGCAGCAGCGGCAGCGGCAGCAGCAGCTCCGAGCCCCCACAGCGTGGTGGTTGGTTTTGGTCGGTTCTTCCTCTCCGTCTCGAGGATTTCAGCGTTTGCTCAATCAACCCTCTGGGCCGTCCCAAGACGCAGGCTCTGAATCTCTCTTGGGACTTGTGTGCAAGGGATCGTGCAGGGACTCTGGGCCTTGTTCCAAAACCGTTTGGCAATACTTCCGCCTCAAAGACTTGGCCCCAAAGCCGTGCGACAGCTAAAGCCCTGCAGGTGAAACTGTGAAACGCTTCAAACATCTTGAAACCCTGCGGAGAGTAGCCTCTTCACCCGCAGACCAGGCACTGCCCTCGCAGCGTGCAGAGAGAAGCCGCCGGAAGAGTCTTTGGCAACCTTCGATCCACGCAAAAGGCCCTTTTGACAAACATCCCGTTGCGAAAGCTTTAACACAGCCAGGTCTCTGCTGCCATCCTCGCAATCGGGTGCATCATGCCCATCACAGCCACATAGACGAAAGAACAGGCCTTGCTGGCAGAAGCAAGTCGCAGCCGCATCAGAAAAAAGGGGCCATAAGACACGCTAGGCTGCTAGCTGACTGCATCAAGGCTCCTTCGCTGGCCAGGCGCCCAGCCCGGAGCTGTGCGACGCAGTCCTCGAACTGTGCCACAATTCCACGCTTCGAGAAAAGCCCATGTCCCCAAGAAGCCACCGTACGAAGCCTCGGAACCCCTCCGTTTCTGTCTGTATCTTATTCCTTCCCGTCCGGCTGACCAGGAGCTCAAGCGATTCAATCTGCATGCGTTCATGGGAGGCTTGAAGTCCTCCAGCTCTTCTCCTTCGGCATCCAGCTTCAAGATCAGGTCCAACTGCAGATCCTGCAAGGAGAACTGGGCTTGACCTTTCACTACTCCAAACCTCGGAGGCTTTCCCAACCCATACTCGAGCTTGGAGTCCTGCGCCGCGCTCGTCTCGAACTCTGCCAAGCTCGCGTGAGCTGCAACGGAGGCCCCGGAGAACCAGTCTCGGAAGGCCTCGCGCCGGGCTTGGGCTTCGAAGGAAGCTGCCTCAATGCAGCCTGGCATCCGCACTCCATGTTGCCCAAAATACGTCAACTCCGTCCAGAGTCAGGAGTCAAGCCCTCCAACCCTGAAAATGAAGATCCAAACAAGATGAGTCCAGCCTCGCCTCCAGGGCACAGCGAGCTAATCGGTGCTTCTCAAGCGAGGCAGCACCTCTCGGCGAGGTGTACAACGAAATCTCCACGAAGCTTTCAACAGACTCAGTCAAACAAGTCCGAGAGGGGAGCCTTCAGGACCAGTCCGCGAAGTTTTCTAACTTTCCTGTAGAGAACAAAACCAGAGCCTCTTGGCCAGTGCTTGTTGCCCATTCCGGTGCACTTTCAACTGGCCTTTCTCGGTTCTGGGTGGTCTTCTGCAGCTTGGGGGCCAGGAGTTTCATCAGTTCTTCCCAGTTTCTCTCCGGGGGCCCCGATGAAGCTCTATGGCCCTCCGGATTTCCAGGGCCAAACCGTGATTTGCAAAGCCTGGGAACCTCGCTTCAGCACCTATCCTTTCAGAGAAGAGCCCTCCAGCCCCATTCCTTTATTGTCGTGGTGTGCTGGTCGGAGCCACGGAATTTCTGGTCCCACGGGCCCTGGTAGAATGCACTGAATGCTCTGCCAACTTGTTGCAAGGTCGTGCTTGGACAGGGGCAACTGTGCCGGCTCTGTCTGAGCCATGCATGGACATACATGTCACTCCGTCGCACCTACCTTCCCGCTCCCCTGACCTCGCCTGAAGTCGGAGCGCTGTAAAGGGGATCGACAAGGTGAATGGAGGCGAACGTGATGTCCTGGCCTCAGCCTAAGGTTTAGGAGCTTACATGGGCATGGAGGCCTGGATCATGGGCTCTTCGGGGCGATGCTCCGACTTTAGATGGTGCAATACTCAGCTCTTGGGGAACTTCTGCGCAAGCGCAATTTAGAAAGACGTGCAGTTTCACCCCAGAGCCAACACCACAGCTTGTGTGGGCCGAGCAGCTGGTCCGCAATGCTTCCAGCAGCTCCCACTCAAAGAGGAGGCTGCCCGAGCCGATTGCTAGAGCTGTCACCTCATGCAAGGAGAAGCCAAACAGAGTCCGTTTGGCCAGCCGGCACTGCAGCAAAGTGCAAGGAAGCAGGCGCATTCTGTGAAAGCTCCTCCGGATGGCCGAAAGACAAAATCGCGACCCGGGGCACTTCGGAGTGGAGCTTCGCAGCTTTGCACTGCGCCATGGCAAACGCCACAAAGGCCGGCCGTACCTGCCAAGTGCTGCACGCACACAAAGGACGGAACGAAGAGAAAACGCAGAGGCAGACGTCGTTTCCCAAGGCACCTCCGGGTGAGCCAGACGATGGGTCGCGCAGCGAACGTCTGCGCACTCCTGCAGAGGCCGCCGACGCCACGGCAAAAGCTTGCTCGAGCAACCTCCCCCCAAACAGAGACACGACGGCTTGGATGCTCCCCGAGGGCTGCAAGCCGGGAGCCCATGGGCGGTCGCAAGGCCCCGTCCCGCAACGTGAGGCCTGGTGCGACTCCTATCACCCATGTTGTACACAAGGTCTGTCCAGATGATGTCTAGCTTCGAAAGAAACCGCTATCAACGGCCATGCGAGCTACGCAAGATGCTCATGCTTCGAAGCAGGCTCCATAATGGTTGAGCGCGGCTTGAGGACATGATCTGTCTCAGCCCTTATCGTTCTTAGAACCTGACAGGAATCTCTGAATCTTCACAACCGCAGACCATCGCAAACGTCTCAGCTTAGACTCTGCCTCCAAGCGCCGCGACGCCGCGAGAGCCCACAGCCATGATGCCATTGCCAGGGTCCAGGGCCCCACTCAAAGACGGCCATGATGCGAACCGACGGATGTAACACGCACCCTCTACTGCAGCCGTAGAAAGGTGCAACAGAGAAAGAACATGTACCATCATGTACCACTGTGAGGATGGGTTGACGCTGAGTCGGCATTCGTGAGGACACACGAGTCACATGACGAGGGTCCCAAGCTCGGCTCAAGACGGCTCCTGGCCCACAATCCGCCACCCAAGAGAAAATTGCCAAACATTTCCAAACAAACTATGCCATCCGTGACAGAATGGGGGGCTCCACTCAGTGCCCTGACCTGAAACTGCACTGCCGACGGGTCAAACTCTCTAAAATTGTGGAAGACATGTAGATGCCAGGTCCCTGACGACGTGTGCGGAACGTGCGGAGCAGTGGTGGGCGTTGTGCGGCGGACCGGCGGAGAGGGATCCTGCATTGGACACGTTTGCCAAGCTGTCGGTTCGGGTCGCAGGAGTAAAGTAGGGCACGCAGGATAGTGGTTTTACAGGCCTTAAACTCTTAAACCTTAATCCCTTTCCCACCTTGGCCAGGATGCGGTGCATCAGGGAGCCCGAGTTGCTAGATTTCGCCAGGCTGCCGGGACGCGTCCTTGGAATTCGGGCTACACATGTCTCAAGTGATCTCAAGAGCAACAGAGGTACAGTCGCAATTGGCTACTGAGGTCCCAGCATTGTGGTTCGAGCAGACATGTGCGGAGACACCTGCGCACGATTCTCCTTCACCCTTGATGAAAGGCCGGTGCAAACTGTTTATTCCCAATGAGTTCTGCTGCTGTTTCGGCTTGCGCTTGCTATGATGTCGTGTCCTTCTGGGTCTTGAGCATGCAGCTGCTTCATGCGCCAGTGTTTCTGTGTGTCAGCTTCTGGCGTGGGCCAAGCTAGCAATGTCGCTTGTGCTTGTGTCTCTTCCGGCTCCTCGTACTCGTCACAAGGTGATTCAAACATGGCTCCAAACAATTCTCTCCCCATGTCCACGCAACTCTTCGCAGCACAACGACAAGCTTGCTTAAACACCCAAGAAAACTCCGAAAAAATCTGAAACCGTGAGACTGAAGCCCGCCACAGTGCCTTCGCGGAAGCTGCCGAGGCTGGACGGACTGAAGGCTTCGATCTTGCAGCCGTGTGAAGCGTTCTCTACACAAGGGTTAAGCCGCTACAGAGAATTGGGCCGCCAAAGTTGAACTTAGGTATCACTGCTGGCTCTGCTCCCTGGCAAGAGTGGGCTTGAGGTGCTAGCTCCGAAGCCTCTCTATACAGGACAGTAATGCTCCATGCGACTCAACTCTATCCCACGCAGATACACAGATGTTATATTGACTCGACGGCCCATGGCACACATGCCGCGGTTTTCCACACAATCTGACATCCCCGAAACTGCACAAAAAAGAGAGACCGGCTAAACACCTCGAAGGCCATCCTGGACCTCCACATCCCCTGCCGGGGCCCTGGCCCAGCTTGTGTGGCAGCCGCAACCTGCAAGCCGCTCTGTAGCTGAGACCCAAATTCTGATCACCACCCCTTAATAATTAGAACAGGGTTTTGGAGGTTCGTTACTATAATAATGGTATACTATACCCCTAAACCCACCCACCCACCCAACTCTCCCGCCCCCTCAAGGGCCATCAGACGCGTACTCTTGCTGGCGGTAGGGCATCCCTGCCAAAACAGGCCGCTGATCTTCGCGGATTAGCCACGGCCTTGTTGGCGACGGCAGCAGCCACTGCTGCATGGTTGTGCCTTGGGTTGAGCGGCTCAGATTTTACATAAAAAGTCCGAACATGCCTATCGCTCCCAATCGCCTTCATGTCCAAGCAATGGAACCTTAGCTGACCCCCGAGATTCCCATGGCTTCCGACCCGGAGGACGAGGAGGACGTGCCAGGCGTTGCACGCCGTGCCGAAGGTGGCGAGCTCTCCATCTAGCAGTTTGGGTCGATTCTTCTTTCCTGGGTTTGCTGGAGCAGTAGCTTGTGCCTTGGACGAACTCGCTGGCGGCGAGGCAGGTGCACGAGCAGGACGGGTACCGGTCCTGTCCCAGTTCAGACCCGAAGAAAATGTGCCTCGCCGCGTGTCCACTGGAATCATCTTGGAGTCAGTTTCTTGTGACGGGGGGTGACGATTGCAGACGGCGATGGGACTTGCAAGCACAGAAGGATGAGCAGACTCTCCGTGCGTCTGCGACGCTACGACAAGGCTGGCCGCCTAGCTGAACTCGGATAGCCGCCGCTGGCCGTGCGTGGCCTCGTCACGTCAGTGAATCTTGACTTGTGGCTGTGCGAACCTGCACGTCTAGCCGTGGCTAAACCCTGATGCTTCAAAAGGTAACCAGGGACCCGACGAAGCCGGAGAGGCCATTGCGGCAGCTGGCCCTCCCACCTGAGAACCCCGCACGCCCAAAACGCTGACAAAGGACTCCTTTCTCACTTCACTTCTGCGTTGCTGACTGAGCCATCTCTTGAGCGCGAATTCACCCCAGCCCAGCCCTTGCAAGCGCTCGGTCACGCACCACTAGAAGCGCACTCGTCTTGCAGAAGCACGAGAGAAGCACGGGAGACTTGGCCCACGGCCCGAGGATTGCATGGGGTCCTGGCGCTGGTCCTCCACTCCAAGCGAACTGAACTAGAGTCTGATGCAGCCTGAGACGGCCTAAGATGGCCTAGGCCAAAAGCTGCATCCTTCCACATCCTTCCCCCAGGCGCGTCCTTGGAGTCGGCGTCGGCTTGCTGGCCTGGGCCTGTGACTGGGTTGGTGGCGAGGCGCACCTGGAGCTCAAAATTTCTGGCTCGCCCAGTCTACAACGCGAAGCGATCACAGCTGCGGCATGTCAAAGCAGTGTCACAGCTGTTTCGACCGTTAAGGAGATCAGGTCATCCCAGCGCGCCTTCGCACCTTGGGAGGCGTCGGTGCCGGCGCCGTGGCTGGCAGAGGCTGAAGAAGTGATTGGATCACAGGGCCCTGGGGTCAGGGCCTTTGCTTGTGGAGTCGGGTCAATTTCTACAACTCTGACAATGAGCCCGGAATGAGCCACACCTTCGATGCCCGCCTGGGCTTTTCTACAAGCCCTCTACGCAGTCTTGCGGCACAACCACGGCCTGGTGGAGCTGCGGTGGATGGGCTTCCTGCAGAACAGTTGAGGGGCACAGGCACGGCACTCTTAAACAAGTTCGTCCCGGCATCCTGGAATAAGCTGATTTCCGGAATGTTAGTAGCCGTATCTCTGTTACTATTTCACCACCCCCCCAGACCTGGCTGGTTTGCGACGATGGAGATATGGTCGCTGCAGGCAGAGCCCTGGAAATTTGGGCAAGAGGGGTTCGAAAAGTCAGAGGTTCTGATTCCGGAGTTTCAATAATCTTCATTGCACTGGAAGATACGAGGGCTCTGACCATTTGAGATCTGTTTTGTTCGGACAGGACTGCCATCGTACCCCGCTTGGGTGAAGCATCGGGCACAGCCCCGAGATGCAGGCCGTGCCGGCTGCAGCATCACCGCCGGGTGGTATTGGAATATCGCCTTGTAGCAAAAGCTTGGCACCCAACGTCTCATCCCTATCTTGTAACTGTCACATCAAAGGCCCTGACAGTCAAACATCGCAGATACATAGTCTGCCTGCGGAAGGGGGAAGGGTGACAGGCAGGGACCCTGCTTCCGAAAAACGACCAGAAAGCTAGCTTAACCTCAAACACCGTGCTGCACCATGGCACGCCACAAGTAGGATAAACCCCAATCTTAATTCCGACAACACTCATGGCTCGCGCAGTGTGGCAATGAGCCTTTTTCGCACACATCCAGGCGTGTCGTGCGTCACATGTCACAACGTCACATCCAAGGCTCAGCGGTCCCCAGCGGCTCTCTCCTACCAACGCAAGCCCCTTGCAAGCTCTCTCATCACAGTCTTCTAGATTGAAGCACAGAGCCTATGTGCCAGTGTAGTGCACAGGGACCTGTCCCAAGCTCCGTTGCAGGCATCTTAGCCCAGCTGAGCGCCATCTTCGTGGCGCAGTGGCAGTACAACGGGCGGCATTCGAATCTGGGAGTGCCCAGTACGCCGCGCAGGTGCTGCGTGCAGCGTATGCCGCACGGAGTGTACCTCATTCCTCCCCTCAAGCTGCAAGCTCACTAACAGCGACCAGGAAACCACCAGGGAATTTGCGACCATTACGGTAAGGCTGTAAGGGTCCAGCAAAGGATCTGGTACACCCCCCGCGACCAATCCCCGTGTTTGGGCCTCTTGCCCATCATCACTGAGGCTGAAACCACAGCTGGGTTTAGGCAGCGTTTCAGCCTCGTTCAGCTTTCGCAGCCTCGTTCTGTCGCGACTTCTCCTATAGCAACGGCACTAGCTTATGCGCGATTCCTACGACTGATCTCTCTAAACCGTGGACAAATCCGTTGGAAAAGGCTGTGGCAAACAGATGCCATGCCCATATTTATTCAGCACAGTTCTCTCCGTACATCTCCGCACGGAGCGATGTCAGCAACTCCTGCAGCCACGCACGGCATTTGCCGCACACAGGCAGAGATGGAGGAAGGACAGAAGATTGGCATCAGAAGGCATCAGTCAAGGACACCTGTCCTACGGCGATCCGGAGGCGCGGCCACTTTCCTTGATAACGGGCATAGGCTCAAGAACAAGTGCTTCCCCCATCTGACACAGAACGACTGCCAGAAATATTACGTGCCACATCGTCCAGTACGGTTCAGGGCCTGAAGTGACTAGGAACCGGGCTATGGGGACTGCGAGGCGCGCTTGTCAGGGAAAGCAGAGAAGGATGGCACCAATCAAAAGCTAAGGAGCAACCGCCGTCTTCCTTTCGCCGAGGACCTGCCAAACCCACCACGAACGAATCTGTCGCCGCTAAAGCCACAGTTTCAGGCAAATCGAAGCCAGCCCAATGGGCAACAACTCCCAAGTTCTGATGATGTCAACCCTTTGCACGTGGTCAGAGCTGCAAGCAATCACCCCCACCCTACAGCACAAGCTCGAAAGTTTCATATGGCGATGGCCCAATGGAATCGCCGCGCCTGGAAGTCGTCGTCGCTCGTCAGAGCAAAGTCCAGGCGCAGCGAGGGCGCCCTTGGCCTCATGTAACCTCCGGGCTTTACAAGCCGAGGGTACTAGGCCACTCTTGTGACCTGGGGGTGTTACCTCCTTGGCAGTGTGATGCAGTTTGACATGCGAGGCTTCACTTTGGTGCTCGTTCGGTCTGAGGTCCACCAAGGACTAGAGCGCAGTCTTCGTACCATGCAGACCAAGCACAACCCCCAAAAGGAATACTGCCTGCCGGAGGCGTCCCTGCATGTGAACAGATCTGAGTCGGCATGACTTACCTCCATTCTTTCATGCACATCTCTCTAGTGTAATCGGTCTCATGGAAGGCTGCACTGCCAAACCAATTAGTCTTCCATCAGTCGCTGCCCCGACGTGGCCTTGCACACCCAGGCACACAAACCAGCCCTCAGTTCACAAAGAGCACTGGCAGCTGCCCGCAGCGACTGCCGCCCACGGTTCTTTGCTCCGTTACACAACCTGCTTCAAACTCGTAATAAGAATTGTAAGCATGACAAATTCAGTCAAGCGTCATAATCACCGATTGCAGTCACCCACCACCTGGGAGTTTCTGGTGAACAGCAAGTCTTTCAGAAGTCGTGCTGCGCACTAGAGCATGATTAGGCCTCAGGCTACATCAC